TATATAAATATATATTTATGTATTTATTTAATTGTATTGGCCTCTACTTGATGAAAATTCATGTTTAATAAATATGTAGGTATACCTACCTGTATGTATCTAGAATAAAAGTCATAGCAAAATTTTCACAAAAAAAATGAAAATTTATTGGACTTTTATTTTAATATTTATTAGAACTTTTACGTAGTTTTTTCGATATTTTTATTATTTTCTTTACCACTTCTAATGCATCTAACGATGACATACTTTTTTCTGGAAAATAAGAGAACTTTCTGAAAGAATCGAGCTCATAGAAGCGATTAAATGATGTAAATGATTTAGCTATTAAAATTAGTTAAATAAATAACTACTCGATTAGATAATCTGTGTCATTATCACATGTCAATTATATTTAACCGGAGACTATTAAAAACTCTCATTCTTATCCATATGGTATTTCTGTAAATTTCTCACAATAAAAACGCGTGTGACAGTTTTATTCTCGTGAATTTATTGATGATAAAATTCATTTCCATCAGCGTAAGTGTTCCGGTTACCATTTTTGGTAGGTACTAGTTCCCGTCCCTTTTTTAATCAGATACGTATTACGAGTGTACGTATGCAGACACATGTACGTATATAACATACATACATAAGTGCGTGCATGTATATGTGTACACATATACAGGGTGGATAATAAAGAATGGGATGTAGGACAACTGCAAATTCTAAACATCACAATAAGTTGTTGTATTCAGCTACTTTAGCCGGAAACTATTGACTAAACTAAAAAACTATTGTTGCCGCTTTAATTTTTATTATCAAATGTAAATTTCGTCAGATATATATATGCAAGTCTGCACGGTAAATGTAATACCACGGTTTGGTAAGTTAAAGCAAAACTTCATTTCAGTTATTCAATTAGATGAGGATCATAAGGTTACGGTAGGAAAAGACAACAAGAACGGAGTAAATATTGCGTGGTTGTTTTTTCATTTGTTTACAGAAATGTGGACCTAATTTTTTTTTGTGCAATTATATATCGGACAGAATTTACAATCGTTTTGTACACACAAACCCAAAAAAGTGGCAGCTATTAGTCGGTACATTTAAAATGTGCAGTAGGCTAATGTTCCATTTTTTTTATAGACCACCCTGTACACATAACAATTTTTCATTAAATCACCACTGAAATAAACGAACATTTTTAAGATTATATAGCTTATTGTGCAAACTAAGCTGCTACGGAAGAACGTGCTGTATTATTGTTTTGCAGCATTTTTGCTTTTTTATCTAATTATAAGAATAAAGCTGGAGACTACACAAGATCGCTTATCGTTTATTGCACTTAAGTCAGCCAAGCATTTTTTTTATTATTTGTTAAACAACGAATACATTTTAAACATTACTACTCTCCAGAAATAGTTTTATTCGCGGAAAAATTAAGGTTGCAATAATTATTTAATAATAACGTAGTACGTAACAAAATCGGTTGTTAGTTTTTGTTTTTAAAGGACCAGTATTAGCCTAGGGTTTTATTTTTTTCATTTCTTTACCTGCTGTATAAATAAAAAACACATTTTTTTTTGTTTTTAAGTCTACTACAGCTTACCCAAGTAAAACCCACGCTTTTGACGCTGATAAATGGTTCAATTTATCTTTCCTATGTAATTTTTATGTAGGTACCTAGTTTTAGATAGATAGCAGAGGGTAGTGTTCGTACGTAAAATCGGATAACACCGTACGTAAAATGCAACAAGAAATGATTAATGAGTAGCATAAAAAACCTTAAAAGAAAAAAGTCAAAAATATTGCGTCTATTATACTACATCAAAATAACCATCTTTAACGTTGTCCCTCTCAGCTATAATAAAAAAAATTTAAACATCTACAAATTTTTTAAGTATTACCTTTTCTACCATGACAATAACCTAACACCGTTGTTTGCAAAAAAATAATTTTTTTCCTAAGTTTCTAATGAATTTTTTTTTGTGCGATTTCAAACTAGCGTCAATTTCAATATACGTAAGTTACTCATGTAAAAAAGAGTAGAAGATCCAATATTTAGTTACGAANCAGTAAAGTACTGCAGAACAAACTTCCAGCTAAAATTATTAATTAGGTAATTGTCTAAGACTTACTCATGATAATCGAATTAATTACCTTGGGAAGATAACAAAATAGAAATGAGGGTAACTCTGTCCTTTGACAATTGAATACTTGGGGAGATCGTTCTCTATAAGAAAATTCTTTGGAAATTGAAGAATTAGTAGATGGCACGCTTCTCTAGAAATTCAATTAAATTAATTTTATTAGTAAAAACAATTATTACTGTCAGTGCTCACCAATTCATCATTTACGACATCTATTATTTGATCACTTTCTTCTGTTGCTCCTTTGCATCTAATTTTCCTGTGCTCAAGCGTTTCAGGCATCGAGTAATAGTGATGAGTAGAATGTACATAAACAACTCTACTCTTTGTGTTTTGCCAAGTAAATACCAACATCTTTAAATTTACGTTAGAATCCAAATATGCAGGGGTCATTTTAAAAAACGGATTGAAATTCAAGCTTTGTTCTACATTTTTAGACCAATAATCACGATAGTATAAATTGTAGTTTCTTTGTTCTGTTGAATAATAATTTTTCAACCTAAAAAAATTATTTAAAACTCGCAAATCACTTCTCAGTTAATTTTTAAACTACCTTTGAACAATACATCCTTGGAAAATAGAATACAATTCCTGTGCGGACATTTTCAAACTAATGCAGAAATTGAATATGGAACCAACGTCGGTAATAGCATTGTGTATATATTCCGGAGTAAATAGAAAATATTTTTTTAGTATCAAAAATTTTTCTAGACGTGGGTTAAAATCGTAAACTTGGTAAGGAATTTGATACACACAGGGTGACATAAACAGTGGAGATTTAGCATCTCTTCGTTCAAATAGTTCTGGATGATTACAAACCTGTAGAAAATTATAATTACATATTAACAGTTTTAACTATTTTCTAAAGAAAAACATACTTTTCTAAACTGCATTACTAAATTCATTAGATTAGACGTGAAATTTTTATCAACTACATGAGAATCCCCTCCCCCAACTGTATAATGTAAAAGATCCTCGATTTGAATTTTCTGTTTTAGTGCCATGTAAAGTAGCTTTTGGCGAGTTGTCAAAGGGCAGTAAACCATAACTTCTATTTTATCTGATAATTCATTTTCGACATCTTTTTTTATTCGCCGCAACATAAAAGGCTTTAGAATCATATGAAGTCTAGACAAATGTTCTGAAATTATAAAAAAACGAAAAATATTTTATGAAAAATGATGAATGAATAATGATGCTTTTACTTTCGTCTATTCCTGTTTTATTTTCCGCATGACTCTCGATGTCTTTTGAAAACCATTCATTAAATTCTTCATGTGAATCAAAAAGTGTTGGCATAATAAAATGCAGAAGCGCCCAAAGTTCTGCCATACTGTTTTGAATAGGAGTACCACTAAGTAATAAACGATTTCGGCAGCTAAACCCCAAAAGCGTTTTCCATCTCATGCTACATTAAATAAAGCAGTTAAATAAGTATAAAGACAAAACAGTAAAAACTACAGACCTGTTAGTGCTTTTAATTGCTTGAGCTTCATCTAAAATCATATACTGCCACTTAATTCTGTTGAAGTATTTTATGTCAGTTATAACAATTTGATAACTTGTTACTACAATGTGAAAACTGGCCTCTTTTGTGTGCATATCTTTCTGGTCCCAAAATTGTCGTAATATTTTTCTTTCCTAAATAATTATTAATTAATTAATTGCTTCGAGGTATATTTAAATAAGACATACATTAGGATTGCCCCAATATGGCACTACATTGAAATCGGGAACGAACTTGGCGATTTCCTGTTGCCAATTATGCAAAGTGGAGGCTGGAGATATAATAAGAAAAGGTCCCCAAACAGCTACAAATAAAGTTTTGCATTATTACTTAATAAATAAACGTCAACTACAAAATCATACAATATTTTTCAGCTATATGGCAAAGAAAGGCGATGCTTTGTACAGTTTTTCCAAGTCCCATTTCATCTGCTAAAATACCGCTAATGCCTTGATCATACAAATTTGCAAGCCAATTCATTCCTCTTAATTGATAGCCTTTCAGACTTCCCCGAAAAAGTAACGGTTGTGGATGCTCTCCTTCAGTAGAGTCAGTCTTTTTGTTCTCTATAGTCGAATTTGCCTCTACATCAAAGTTTCGGGTGCGTTGACGTTCACTAAAAAATGCTTCTTCAGCATTTCTCTTTGCTTTTGCTTTCATGGCTTCACTAAAATTCAAAATTCCTGTACACTTCATACAAAAATTGAAATTTATATTTACCTATCATAGTCATCAATACTTAGTAACCTTGGGTTCTTTTCTTCATCTAGTTGACTTAAGATCCGCAGTTGTTCTTCTGGTGAAGCTTTCCCTAACTTCTTAGACATGAAGTGGGCATATAATTCAGTTTGGGTTATGAGAAAATTCAATTTACGTTGTTGCCTCTTCGCCTCTATCAATTCAAAATCCATTTTTCGTTGTTCTTCTGCTTCTTTCTCCAGTTTTCGCCGAATTTCTCTATCAACTCTCTTTGATCTCTTCCAATAAGCAAGATTTTCACGAGAAAGTCTTTTCATTCTCCATTGTTGTTCTTTTACAACTCTGGCCGAATGAAGCTGTAAAAATACATATATATTTTAAGATATAATAATTAATTTTTAAAAACTCATCATACCGCTTTTTGCCTTACAACTTTCTGACACTGCAAAGCTACCCTTTTACACTGTAAAATAACTTCTTTGTGACGATTACATTTTGACCTTTGCTGTTTACCAACTTCTTTTTTGACCATATTTGCAAACACTTTTCTGCGTTTTGACGCCATCATTTCTTCCCATTTCCTTTTTGATTCTTCATCTTTAAATTTCCTGGCTGCTTTCTTAACAGGATTAAAAATTCCACTATTTTGGCTAGATGAAATATAAGTTCCTGCATCTGAGTTTATATTAGAATCTTCATCAAAATTTTGAACATCTGGCAATGGCTCTCCATTATAGTCCACTCCACTACCTTCCTAAAATAACACAAATTCAATTATGTACAGAAATAATCCACAAAACTAATTCTACTTACTATAACTTCATCTAAATTGTCTGGGGGTGCAATATACTCATGTTTTACAGTTTCTTTTACTATTCTTCTTTTTATTGGTTTTACAGCTAACTTTTTACTTTCTGGATATTTATCATTTATTGAAAACAACCCTGTGCTATAGTAAGCATGGCTTTTTAGAAACTGAAAGGTTAAATGTTGTTTTTCACAGATATTGGGCATATTTTTCTAAATATCTACCTGTTTTTTATGTGCTACTGATGAATGTAGTTTACGAGTTTTAGCAGCGAAAGAGATCTGTCCAAAAATGTCATCATCCTCATCTGATTCCTCATCCAGCACCTTCAGTATCCATTCTCTTTCTTCTGTTAAGTTTTCAACATTTAAAAAATGCATGACGCCATGCCAATCTTCATCTGTAAAATACGTCTCTTCAAGAAGAATAAGCAAAGTAACAAGACAGCTACTTACTATTACTATCCGATTCAGAATCACTATCACTACCTACAACTATCACTTCTTCATCACTGGTGTCATATGATTGATCTTGTGAATTTAAAAATGCTGTTAAATCTAATGCCTTTTCAAGTCGTTGTATATGAACAGGTCTTGAACATCCTGGTTGGGCCACGTCTATTGCATTTCCATTTTCCTTATCCATTTTTTTTTACTTTTGTTTATACAAAATAAACTTTACCTAACCTCAAAAACTAGGAACGCAGAAAGATAAGGAAATTTTAAATAATAAGCGTACTAAATGTTTAAAAGCGGTTTAAATCAGAACAATTACGTTGGTCCTACGTTAACGTAACAGCTTTTAATTTATTTTTGAAGACTTCTGTTGCACTAATAAACGCTCCTTTTCACTTTTTATTTGTTTCACTATATTTGCAATTTTCTTTAATTTCAAGTTTCCCCATACTATTTTTAAATGTCTTTTTAAGTTTTCTTTTTAGATAACTTTACTCAAGTTACTTTAGGCGTTAATTTTATACCTTTTGATTTAATTGTTGTCAATTCTAACCTCTTATTTAATTTATTGACGTTAATTATTTAACTTTCAAAAATGCCATGAAGATAGCGCTGTATCCTTCGGATTTTCTATTATTCTCGGTTTAACTCAAAGAGGGCAGCAGCATTGGTTTTTAGAATTAAAATTAAATTTAAATTAGCGCAACTGATCAACATGCTAAATAAAAGAAATTATTTTAATAACTAACATTCTAATGCTTTTGTTTCTTTCTATAAGTGAAATTCAAACAGTTTTAATTATATTAATATTTTTAAGTATAGTTATGGATTTTTAAAATTCATTTTTATGAGATATTTACAAATTAAAATTTAAAATATCCAGTAGCCATAGGTAAGCAAGCGTAATTTAAATTAATTAATTAAATTCAGCATTAATTAATTAAAACGTAATCAAAATGCATTATTTATAGTAAACCTGTAGTATACTGCAACCAATCCTTGAAATAGACGGAAATGCCTTATGTTAATTTTATCTGATGCAGTTGTAGCATTTTAATCAAATAAAAGACAGACAGAGTGTTTTGCAACTTTGCAATGACTGTTAAGAAATCACGTAAGTTATTCTGTTAATATGCTAGTAATTAAAAAATAAAAGTACCATTTTTTATGGCATATATATA